CTTCCCTGCTGTGAGACATCCTCTCGTTTCTCCTCGTTTGCCGCCCCGCCCGCTCTCTATCCTCCTCTTACAGTCTTGCAACCCGGTATGGCCCTATACCCATCTATGCCGGCTGTGTGCAAGCTACCTCTCTCTTCGTATGCTCGGGTATCGTGAGACCTCAATAGTCAAGGCGGTCACTCGGCGAGTCAGCCTGCTCATCTCTTGCCGTCCTTGTAGTGTTCTGTGTTCGAGGGTTTATATATGGGCATCCATGTGCTGGCAGTCCCACAATCACACAGGCCCTCAGCAACCAGAGAGCAGTACGGTATGGCAGCAACCCGCGAATGCGATGCTGAGCAGCCCTCAGCAACCAGAGAGCAGTACGGTATGGCAGCAACCCGCGAATGCGATGCTGAGCAGCAAGCTGCAGCAAACAGCGAGGCGCCTCCTGCTCTAAGCGGCGTTGGATCCGCTGCGCTGAAACGACCCGCACCCACCCCTTTACAAAGCCTCGAAGTCATTGTTGCTCAAGTCAAACCCTCGCGCTGCAGCCTCGCAGTGAGCTGGTCGCTGGTCTCGAGCGCTGTCGTCCGCCTTCCAACACACCGTCTGCCTGCTCCAGGCTGTCTCAGGCTTACCCTCGTCACGGCACGCATCCTTACCTACCCTCACCCTAGTCGCACCCACCGCAGCTGATCCCTTCTGCAGATCATGGTCTCGATAGGCCCTGTCTCTCGGCCTCGCGCCCTAGTCTCTAGTCTCCTGTCTCGCTGTCTCCTTCGCATGCTCAGCAACCTGGCAGCATCCCGGGCTTTTCTGTCCACCTCTCGTGTGGCGTCCCCTGCCATGCTTGGTCCAAATGTGTGCGCATTTGTGCGGGACCCCACCCCTGCCTTTCCAGCAGTCCACAGCCGAATACCACCCTACCCTTTCCATGCCCCCCTTGCCCAAGAAAGATTCCGGCCAGACTCTCCCTTGCTCGTCGCTCTCCGCGTCCGTCCGTCCGTCCCTTCCTCCTCGCCTTCTCTTGCTTTCTGCCTTATCCGCTTTGCTTCTCATCTGACCTGTCGTCCCTTCTCATCTTGCTCCCGTCCGCCATGCTCTTGAGCCAACGCCCAGCACTTCCATCCGATCGTTGAGTCTATTCTTGACCATCACTGTTGTCTCATCTAAGACTCCGCTTGCTTTGTCGTCCAGCTTAGCCATCCCTCGCCCTCGCCCTAAGCTCTTCTCTGCTTGCCGAGCGTGGCCCCCTCAAGCTTCAGGCGATCTCCTTTGCCGGGCTGGCTAGTCGACCCCTCTCGGTGATCCTTCCCGCCGTATCACCTCGTCGTCCGTGCCGACTTTGCAGCCAGCATGAAGTACTCCCCTGACCACGACTGCTTCCGTACTCGAGGAGTGCTCTCCCGCGACACCATCGTCGAGATCTACAAGCTCCGCACAAACGATAAGAAAATCAAGACCGCCGCAAGCGCCTCGGTAGGCCTCAAGCACGGCGTTACGGCCAAGGCCATCAGAGACATCTGGAACCGGCGGACATGGTGGAACGTGACGGAGGCGCTATGGACGGAGGAGGAGCGGGAGGACTACGCGAGGAGGCGGAAGCCATGCGGGAAGGCGGGGAGGCCTCGAGGGTCCAAGGACTCGAAGAAGCGGAGAGCAAAGATCGGGGCAGGTCAGATAAGCATGGCAGCCAGTAGAGTAGACGAGCAAGCCCGAGACAGGACTGACCGGCCCAGTGACAGCCATCAAGCTGGCAGGCAGGAGCTCTGCGTACGGCAAGGTGCATCGTCGTCGTCAGAAGGCGACGAGCGGGAGGACGAGGACGAGAGCGAAGAGGACGCGGAAGGCGAAGACAAGAAGAGCACAAGTCGTGGGGATGACGACGAGGCTCGGGCATCGATAGGCATTGCATACAGCAGCTGGAGCGAGGGAGCGGGGCTGCCCCGACCCATCCACATGTCAAGGGAGGAGCTTTGGGGCGAGGCTCTGCGGCACGTCATGCGATGACAACCACAGCGGAGAGCAGCGGCCAGTCCGTAGCAGCAGCCCCAGGGGCCATTCCACTGTCGCAGTCGCCTGCACCTGCATCCTTCTTACCCCCGGACAGCACCGAGCTCGCAGTGTGTACAGGGAGCAGTTTGTCGCGAGTGATGTATATACATGCAGACTCCTGCATCTCACGCCTGCCTTGGCCTATTGGCGTACGTCTCATGTCCCCGCCTCGAGCAGGCGCCTCGTCTGTAGGATCTGTCTTGAAGCTGAGAATGGCACAAGCACACTCACGCAGCTGCAGAGGCTGACGGGACCGGCTGTGTCCAGCCTTCACCAGGCCTGGGGTAAAAGGACTCAAGATCACAGAAATCCTTAGGCCTGGAGCTTGTGCTATCGTCCCCTTGCCCCTAGACCAGCTCGATCTGCGGTTCGCCTCCTGAACGCCTTACACCGCACGGGAAGCTGTGCACGCGTGCCAAGACTCTCGTCCTGATGGCTCGCATACAGATACCCTCACCTATCTCCAGCCTCTCCGTCCGTGACTCCAGGTCCGGCCAAGCCTTACCGGCATCGACAAAGAAGAGGAATCAATAGGCTGATGATGATCTTACTGGTGCTACCAGCCAGGAGAAAGCGCCTTCCTGCGGCGCCTGTTGATCCATCCCGGTCGTCATTCCCTGATCCGTCTGGACTTTGGTCGTGGACAGGTGCGGGATCGTAGGATCGCAGGACCGCGGGCCTGGGCCTCGCAGCCTGCGTAAAGTCGCCTTTTCTAGCATGGGCCGTAGCCAAAGATGCGGCCTGCTGGGTTTGCTCTGATCATCGACACTGATCTAACGACGCACTTGCTCGGCCCAGCCTATTTTCTCTTGATCGCTCCGTATCAAATAGGATGCTTTCTACTCGCCCCCCTTCTTCTGTCAGTCCATGGTTTGGAGCAAATGTCTCGCAGCTCACCCCGTCGGATCTCATCCGCTGCCTCTCTGCGACCATGCCCTGCTTGTTCATGCCATGCCCTGATCTCCTCGACTCCGACGCCTTCCTGTGCATCCCGCCATCAAGCTGGAAGCCAGGAGCTCTGCGTACGGCAAGGTGCATCGTCAGGATCTCTGGTTGCCAAGCTCATCCAGCAGTGAGCCTGGGACAAGTTCTCAGCCTCCCTTTCCCTCTCTATCACCCTCCCTCCCTCCCTCCCTCCCTCCTTGTGAACCCTTTCAACCTTGCTTGTGCTGTCGCTGCAAACAGATGTCATCTTGCTTTGCACTGCCTATCCATCCGGCTACCTCTCCTCATCCGCAGCTTCCCCACTGACTCCCTTGCTCCTCAAGTGTGTCTCCACTAAGCTCCTGCTCTTGATATGCCCTGGTACTCACTCTTCTTCCTGGATGTATCTCCATCGTTCGATCAACATGGCTGCCTCTGTACATAACTGCTGCTGTATGTTTTGCCTCCGCAGCTGTATGTTTGGCCTCAGCAGCTGTATGGTTTGCTTTCATGTCCTATATCAGCATAAGCCTATCCTTCCTGTACCGTAGACCCTATCCTTCCTGTGACAGGCATCAGTGTGCCTTCCCGTGACATCTCTGCTGTTTTGAGTACGCCCATCATCATCTCACAGACCGCGCTTGGTCTCAGACTCGTCCCGAGCCTCTCCCTCTCTCCTCCAAGCCTCCCTCCCTTCCTCTTCCCTCTGAGTGCCCTCGCCTTCATGTCTGTTCTCAGGCTCCCCGATTTCGCTCGGTTTTAAAAAACAATCGGCTTTTAAACTTCCACCCCCACCCCCCCTGCCCCCACCAAGATGCGCCCCCATCTTCCTTCCCGGCCTTCATGGCGACTAGCAAGGACCAGTAGCATGCGACACGGAGGAGACGATGAGGATGCGGGAGACGGAGAGGGACGGCCCCTTCCCCTCGACCTCCAAGCCTCCTCTCATCGCCATCAGCCTCCGTGCTGCTCGTGGATACATGAAGCACTCACGACCGGCAAGGCTCCGTACAGCGTCAAACGCAAACAGAAGCTGCCAGCGCTTGTGCAGGGTGTAAGCGAGTAGGTCGAAGGAGCGTGAGGCGCCTGAAGCCTGCAGGAGTATTACTCTATACGCTCACCTGACCATATGCAGCGTCTGTCACGGCAAACGTCTGCCATGTCACCACGCAAAAACAAGCATCCCAGACTGACGTACGCCAAGCGTTTCCTGCTGCAACTCCTGTCGGATCGACCTCGATCATCTGGACGCATATCGCAAGCGCCCAGACTGTGCCCTGAGCGGATCAGCGATATCACACGGATGCTTCTGCCTAGTCAGGCCAGTCTCGCCTTCTTGCCTGCGCCTGGAGTGATTTGATACTTGCCGGGTCGTACTCGCGTGGGCGGCAGATAGCTACGCAACCGCGTGTTCTCTTCATCTGTCATACTGATGGTTGCCAAGCATGCCCTATGAGCATGGCACAGCTGACGATGTGTGTTCATTGGGGGACCCAAATGCGCTCGACCGATCTCCCTTGCCTGCCTTGAAATCGAGGAACGAGCCCTTGAATAGGCCACTCCATGGAAGGTATAATGTGTAATAGAAGGCAAGGTATATGTGTTTATGTGTTTGAATGATGATGTCTCCTGGCAGCATTGGCGGCGCTTGGTTCCATGAGTCATCTCTCGACAAGAAGCTGTCTTTGGTCTACCTGCCCCTCTGCCGCCGTTTGCTCCTCTCCCTTCAGCCAGCCCGTCGCCTTGCACTTCTCGCTAGTACAAAGCGCTTCCCGTCCCCGCAATCATCGCAAGCAACGCATGCAGGCGTCCATGTCACGTGTCAAAGTCATCCTTACACCCGTCGTCTGGTCGTCGCAACTGTAGTATACCGAAGCCGATGGATCTACACAACGCTTGCCCTATGGTAGCATATATCCCATATGCATGAATACAAGCTCCAGCAAGGCCTCGTCACCCCGCGCCCAAATAGATGCGACTTCTACGCTCAGACAATCCGTCCGACAAGCTCCTTGTCCCTCGCGTCGCTTCTTGGTTCCTCATCGTGTCACATGCTCCAGCGCCTCTCTCATCAGCTCCTCCCTGCAGAGATGGATCGCTCGACTCAGCCTCAGTCCCGCGAGGGTGGCGTTCAGCCCTATGGCTTTGGTCGTGCTGCTGGCTCCTACGACCCGCTCGTGCGCTTTTTCCTCTTCCTCGTCAACCTGCGGCAATCAAAGGTCGTCACCTATGCTGTAGTGCCCTGGTCTCTAGGCACCTGCTGGTGGCACCACTCTCTCACCTCCTCAATGTCTACCGAGAGCTTGTCGTCGTCACTGCTCTCGCTCTTCTCGCTCTCCTGAGCTTTGACTTGTCCCTCCGCCTGGTCGGGCTCTACCTGCTTTCGCCTTGACTTGCGAGGCTTCGAGTCCTTGGACCCTCGAGGCCTCCCCGCCTTCCCGCATGGCTTCCGCCTCCTCGCGTAGTCCTCCCGCTCCTCCTCCGTCCATAGCGCCTCCGTCACGTTCCACCATGTCCGCCGGTTCCAGATGTCTCGGATGGCCTTGGCCGTAACGCCGTGCTTGAGGCCTACCGAGGCGCTTGCGGCGGTCTTGATTTTCTTATCGTTTGTGCGGAGCTTGTAGATCTCGACGATGGTGTCGCGGGAGAGCACTCCTCGAGTACGGAAGCAGTCGTGGTCAGGAGAGCTCTGCATGAGAACGCGCAGAGCTAATTGATAGACTCTGCTTTGAGCTCATGGCCACATTGTCGTATCAGGTATCTTGACACAGCACTACTGTGATCTGGCGCCTTGCTTTCTCCTTGGAGTTCAGCATGCTTGCTGCCATATTCTCTTGTGGCAACCATGGAGAGAGCCGAGGAGTGTCTTGTAGGGGGGGGGGGGGGCAGGGGGCATATTTTACGATTAGAACATCAACGATGTATTAGTTAATTTTGTACGGGAGGAGAACCAGGAGGGCGACACGGAGACATGCCGGGGGCAGGAGAAGCTGCTGGCTTGGAAGCTGCCGGAGTTGGGCATCAAGCTGCATGCATCGATGAGCTGAGATCTCGTGCACGGCCAGTCGATCTGTCATCTGCGCTCTGATGGCTACAGGGCTTTGAGCGAGGGCTTGATCAGCAAACGATATCAGACTGCCATCTGCAGATCAGAGGTTCTGTGTTGACGACCGTTCTGTTTGTGTTGGCATTGAAACGATGACGTGTCTGCTCTTTAGCAGCAATGAGCGAGCATGTGCCGACCTTTGGGACTCTGGTGGTCGATATGTATCATCTGAACATGCTCTCGAGTACCAGAATCAAGTGTTCCACCCTACGAACCCACCCGTGGAGGGCACGGCCACTGGAATCAGAGCTGAAAGGCGTCTGCGATGACTTGAGATATGCAAGAAGTGTATCGTGACGATGGTGGCAAAGTGCATACCCTGCATCGTATATGCACATCCGGTCTGAGCATCCTTTCGACATGCTGTACGGCGAGTTATGCTCGTCCACACGTAGCTGACAGCTTGCCTTGAGGATGGATAGACTGGACAGTACAGGCCATAGTTGTTGCTAACTGTAGGACGAAGGGTTCAGGTGGAGAGGTTTCTCTCTCCTTTTGACGCCCTCCCTCCTTGTATCACTCCATCCCTTATTTCCACTCTTGCTTCTTGTCCTGTAGGTTGCCATCGTCTGGCTGGTATACTCCGCCCTACCCCACTTTGATTCTCACTGCCGTTTGCTGTCCCTCTCCACTGTCATCGTCTTTCATCCTTGATCCATCTTCCCTGCTGTGAGACATCCTCTCGTTTCTCCTCGTTTGCCGCCCCGCCCGCTCTCTATCCTCCTCTTACAGTCTTGCAACCCGGTATGGCCCTATACCCATCTATGCCGGCTGTGTGCAAGCTACCTCTCTCTTCGTATGCTCGGGTATCGTGAGACCTCAATAGTCAAGGCGGTCACTCGGCGAGTCAGCCTGCTCATCTCTTGCCGTCCTTGTAGTGTTCTGTGTTCGAGGGTTTATATATGGGCATCCATGTGCTGGCAGTACATCGCTTGGCATCGGTCGCAGCCTTCCGTAGCGGTTGCTTCGGCCTTGTTATCGAGCTCCCACAATCACACAGGCCCTCAGCAACCAGAGAGCAGTACGGTATGGCAGCAACCCGCGAATGCGATGCTGAGCAGCAAGCTGCAGCAAACAGCGAGGCGCCTCCTGCTCTAAGCGGCGTTGGATCCGCTGCGCTGAAACGACCCGCACCCACCCCTTTACAAAGCCTCGAAGTCATTGTTGCTCAAGTCAAACCCTCGCGCTGCAGCCTCGCAGTGAGCTGGTCGCTGGTCTCGAGCGCTGTCGTCCGCCTTCCAACACACCGTCTGCCTGCTCCAGGCTGTCTCAGGCTTACCCTCGTCACGGCACGCATCCTTACCTACCCTCACCCTAGTCGCACCCACCGCAGCTGATCCCTTCTGCAGATCATGGTCTCGATAGGCCCTGTCTCTCGGCCTCGCGCCCTAGTCTCTAGTCTCCTGTCTCGCTGTCTCCCCTTGCTCGTCGCTCTCCGCGTCCGTCCGTCCGTCCCTTCCTCCTCGCCTTCTCTTGCTTTCTGCCTTATCCGCTTTGCTTCTCATCTGACCTGTCGTCCCTTCTCATCTTGCTCCCGTCCGCCATGCTCTTGAGCCAACGCCCAGCACTTCCATCCGATCGTTGAGTCTATTCTTGACCATCACTGTTGTCTCATCTAAGACTCCGCTTGCTTTGTCGTCCAGCTTAGCCATCCCTCGCCCTCGCCCTAAGCTCTTCTCTGCTTGCCGAGCGTGGCCCCCTCAAGCTTCAGGCGATCTCCTTTGCCGGGCTGGCTAGTCGACCCCTCTCGGTGATCCTTCCCGCTATCACCTCGTCGTCCGTGCCGGCTTTGTAGCCAGCATGAAGTACTCCCCTGACCACGACTGCTTCCGTACTCGAGGAGTGCTCTCCCGCGACACCATCGTCGAGATCTACAAGCTCCGCACAAACGATAAGAAAATCAAGACCGCCGCAAGCGCCTCGGTAGGCCTCAAGCACGGCGTTACGGCCAAGGCCATCCGAGACATCTGGAACCGGCGGACATGGTGGAACGTGACGGAGGCGCTATGGACGGAGGAGGAGCGGGAGGACTACGCGAGGAGGCGGAAGCCATGCGGGAAGGCGGGGAGGCCTCGAGGGTCCAAGGACTCGAAGAAGCGGAGAGCAAAGATCGGGGCAGGTCAGATAAGCATGGCAGCCAGTAGAGTAGACGAGCAAGCCCGAGACAGGACTGACCGGCCCAGTGACAGCCATCAAGCTGGCAGGCAGGAGCTCTGCGTACGGCAAGGTGCATCGTCGTCGTCAGAAGGCGACGAGCGGGAGGACGAGGACGAGAGCGAAGAGGACGCGGAAGGCGAAGACAAGAAGAGCACAAGTCGTGGGGATGACGACGAGGCTCGGGCATCGATAGGCATCGCATACAGCAGCTGGAGCGAGGGAGCGGGGCTGCCCCGACCCATCCACATGTCAAGGGAGGAGCTTTGGGGCGAGGCTCTGCGGCACGTCATGCGATGACAACCACAGCGGAGAGCAGCGGCCAGTCCGTAGCAGCAGCCCCAGGGGCCATTCCACTGTCGCAGTCGCCTGCACCTGCATCCTTCTTACCCCCGGACAGCACCGAGCTCGCAGTGTGTACAGGGAGCAGTTTGTCGCGAGTGATGTATATACATGCAGACTCCTGCATCTCACGCCTGCCTTGGCCTATTGGCGTACGTCTCATGTCCCCGCCTCGAGCAGGCGCCTCGTCTGTAGGATCTGTCTTGAAGCTGAGAATGGCACAAGCACACTCACGCAGCTGCAGAGGCTGACGGGACCGGCTGTGTCCAGCCTTCACCAGGCCTGGGGTAAAAGGACTCAAGATCACAGAAATCCTTAGGCCTGGAGCTTGTGCTATCGTCCCCTTGCCCCTAGACCAGCTCGATCTGCGGTTCGCCTCCTGAACGCCTTACACCGCACGGGAAGCTGTGCACGCGTGCCAAGACTCTCGTCCTGATGGCTCGCATACAGATACCCTCACCTATCTCCAGCCTCTCCGTCCGTGACTCCAGGTCCGGCCAAGCCTTACCGGCATCGACAAAGAAGAGGAATCAATAGGCTGATGATGATCTTACTGGTGCTACCAGCCAGGAGAAAGCGCCTTCCTGCGGCGCCTGTTGATCCATCCCGGTCGTCATTCCCTGATCCGTCTGGACTTTGGTCGTGGACAGGTGCGGGATCGTAGGATCGCAGGACCGCGGGCCTGGGCCTCGCAGCCTGCGTAAAGTCGCCTTTTCTAGCATGGGCCGTAGCCAAAGATGCGGCCTGCTGGGTTTGCTCTGATCATCGACACTGATCTAACGACGCACTTGCTCGGCCCAGCCTATTTTCTCTTGATCGCTCCGTATCAAATAGGATGCTTTCTACTCGCCCCCCTTCTTCTGTCAGTCCATGGTTTGGAGCAAATGTCTCGCAGCTCACCCCGTCGGATCTCATCCGCTGCCTCTCTGCGACCATGCCCTGCTTGTTCATGCCATGCCCTGATCTCCTCGACTCCGACGCCTTCCTGTGCTTCCTGTGCATCCCGCCATCAAGCTGGAAGCCAGGAGCTCTGAGTACGGCAAGGTGCATCGTCAGGATCTCTGGTTGCCATCCAGCAGTGAGCCTGGGACAAGTTCTCAGCCTCCCTTTCCCTCTCTATCACCCTCCCTCCCTCCCTCCCTCCCTCCTTGTGTCCTTGTGAACCCTTTCAACCTTGCTTGTGCTGTCGCTGCAAACAGATGTCATCTTGCTTTGCACTGCCTATCCATCCGGCTACCTCTCCTCATCCGCAGCTTCCCCACTGACTCCCTTGCTCCTCAAGTGTGTCTCCACTAAGCTCCTGCTCTTGATATGCCCTGGTACTCACTCTTCTTCCTGGATGTATCTCCATCGTTCGATCAACATGGCTGCCTCTGTACATAACTGCTGCTGTATGTTTTGCCTCCGCAGCTGTATGTTTGGCCTCAGCAGCTGTATGGTTTGCTTTCATGTCCTATATCAGCATAAGCCTATCCTTCCTGTACCGTAGACCCTATCCTTCCTGTGACAGGCATCAGTGTGCCTTCCCGTGACATCTCTGCTGTTTTGAGTACGCCCATCATCATCTCACAGACCGCGCTTGGTCTCAGACTCGTCCCGAGCCTCTCCCTCTCTCCTCCAAGCCTCCCTCCCTTCCTCTTCCCTCTGAGTGCCCTCGCCTTCATGTCTGTTCTCAGGCTCCCCGATTTCGCTCGGTTTTAAAAAACAATCGGCTTTTAAACTTCCACCCCCACCCCCCCTGCCCCCACCAAGATGCGCCCCCATCTTCCTTCCCGGCCTTCATGGCGACTAGCAAGGACCAGTAGCATGCGACACGGAGGAGACGATGAGGATGCGGGAGACGGAGAGGGACGGCCCCTTCCCCTCGACCTCCAAGCCTCCTCTCATCGCCATCAGCCTCCGTGCTGCTCGTGGATACATGAAGCACTCACGACCGGCAAGGCTCCGTACAGCGTCAAACGCAAACAGAAGCTGCCAGCGCTTGTGCAGGGTGTAAGCGAGTAGGTCGAAGGAGCGTGAGGCGCCTGAAGCCTGCAGGAGTATTACTCTATACGCTCACCTGACCATATGCAGCGTCTGTCACGGCAAACGTCTGCCATGTCACCACGCAAAAACAAGCATCCCAGACCGACGTACGCCAAGCGTTTCCTGCTGCAACTCCTGTCGGATCGACCTCGATCATCTGGACGCATATCGCAAGCGCCCAGACTGTGCCCTGAGCGGATCAGCGATATCACACGGATGCTTCTGCCTAGTCAGGCCAGTCTCGCCTTCTTGCCTGCGCCTGGAGTGATTTGATACTTGCCGGGCCGTACTCGCGTGGGCGGCAGATAGCTACGCAACCGCGTGTTCTCTTCATCTGTCATACTGATGGTTGCCAAGCATGCCCTATGAGCATGGCACAGCTGACGATGTGTGTTCATTGGGGGACCCAAATGCGCTCGACCGATCTCCCTTGCCTGCCTTGAAATCGAGGAACGAGCCCTTGAATAGGCCACTCCATGGAAGGTATAATGTGTAATAGAAGGCAAGGTATATGTGTTTATGTGTTTGAATGATGATGTCTCCTGGCAGCATTGGCGGCGCTTGGTTCCATGAGTCATCTCTCGACAAGAAGCTGTCTTTGGTCTACCTGCCCCTCTGCCGCCGTTTGCTCCTCTCCCTTCAGCCAGCCCGTCGCCTTGCACTTCTCGCTAGTACAAAGCGCTTCCCGTCCCCGCAATCATCGCAAGCAACGCATGCAGGCGTCCATGTCACGTGTCAAAGTCATCCTTACACCCGTCGTCTGGTCGTCGCAACTGTAGTATACCGAAGCCGATGGATCTACACAACGCTTGCCCTATGGTAGCATATATCCCATATGCATGAATACAAGCTCCAGCAAGGCCTCGTCACCCCGCGCCCAAATAGATGCGACTTCTACGCTCAGACAATCCGTCCGACAAGCTCCTTGTCCCTCGCGTCGCTTCTTGGTTCCTCATCGTGTCACATGCTCCAGCGCCTCTCTCATCAGCTCCTCCCTGCAGAGATGGATCGCTCGACTCAGCCTCAGTCCCGCGAGGGTGGCGTTCAGCCCTATGGCTTTGGTCGTGCTGCTGGCTCCTACGACCCGCTCGTGCGCTTTTTCCTCTTCCTCGTCAACCTGCGGCAATCAAAGGTCGTCACCTATGCTGTAGTGCCCTGGTCTCTAGGCACCTGCTGGTGGCACCACTCTCTCACCTCCTCAATGTCTACCGAGAGCTTGTCGTCGTCACTGCTCTCGCTCTTCTCGCTCTCCTGAGCTTTGACTTGTCCCTCCGCCTGGTCGGGCTCTACCTGCTTTCGCCTTGACTTGCGAGGCTTCGAGTCCTTGGACCCTCGAGGCCTCCCCGCCTTCCCGCATGGCTTCCGCCTCCTCGCGTAGTCCTCCCGCTCCTCCTCCGTCCATAGCGCCTCCGTCACGTTCCACCATGTCCGCCGGTTCCAGATGTCTCGGATGGCCTTGGCCGTAACGCCGTGCTTGAGGCCTACCGAGGCGCTTGCGGCGGTCTTGATTTTCTTATCGTTTGTGCGGAGCTTGTAGATCTCGACGATGGTGTCGCGGGAGAGCACTCCTCGAGTACGGAAGCAGTCGTGGTCAGGAGAGCTCTGCATGAGAACGCGCAGAGCTAATTGATAGACTCTGCTTTGAGCTCATGGCCGCATTGTCATTTCAGGTATCTTGACACAGCACTACTGTGATCTGGCGCCTTGCTTTCTCCTTGGAGTTCAGCATGCTTGCTGCCATATTCTCTTGTGGCAACCATGGAGAGAGCCGAGGAGTGTCTTGTAGGGGGGGGGGGGGGCAGGGGGCATATTTTACGATTAGAACATCAACGATGTATTAGTTAATTTTGTACGGGAGGAGAACCAGGAGGGCGACACGGAGACATGCCGGGGGCAGGAGAAGCTGCTGGCTTGGAAGCTGCCGGAGTTGGGCATCAAGCTGCATGCATCGATGAGCTGAGATCTCGTGCACGGCCAGTCGATCTGTCATCTGCGCTCTGATGGCTACAGGGCTTTGAGCGAGGGCTTGATCAGCAAACGATATCAGACTGCCATCTGCAGATCAGAGGTTCTGTGTTGACGACCGTTCTGTTTGTGTTGGCATTGAAACGATGACGTGTCTGCTCTTTAGCAGCAATGAGCGAGCATGTGCCGACCTTTGGGACTCTGGTGGTCGATATGTATCATCTGAACATGCTCTCGAGTACCAGAATCAAGTGTTCCACCCTACGAACCCACCCGTGGAGGGCACGGCCACTGGAATCAGAGCTGAAAGGCGTCTGCGATGACTTGAGATATGCAAGAAGTGTATCGTGACGATGGTGGTAAAGTGCATACCCTGCATCGTATATGCACATCCGGTCTGAGCATCCTTTCGACATGCTGTACGGCGAGTTATGCTCGTCCACACGTAGCTGACAGCTTGCCTTGAGGATGGATAGACTGGACAGTACAGGCCATACAAGTCCAGACCGACCAAGCGACTCTTACACGTCTCCGCTCTGCCATGGCCAGCTCGTTGTTGCTAACTGTAGGACGAAGGGTTCAGGTGGAGAGGTTTCTCTCTCCTTTTGACGCCCTCCCTCCTTGTATCACTCCATCCCTTATTTCCACTCTTGCTTCTTGTCCTGTAGGTTGCCATCGTCTGGCTGGTATACTCCGCCCTACCCCACTTTGATTCTCACTGCCGTTTGCTGTCCCTCTCCACTGTCATCGTCTTTCATCCTTGATCCATCTTCCCTGCTGTGAGACATCCTCTCGTTTCTCCTCGTTTGCCGCCCCGCCCGCTCTCTATCCTCCTCTTACAGTCTTGCAACCCGGTATGGCCCTATACCCATCTATGCCGGCTGTGTGCAAGCTACCTCTCTCTTCGTATGCTCGGGTATCGTGAGACCTCAATAGTCAAGGCGGTCACTCGGCGAGTCAGCCTGCTCATCTCTTGCCGTCCTTGTAGTGTTCTGTGTTCGAGGGTTTATATATGGGCATCCATGTGCTGGCAGTACATCGCTTGGCATCGGTCGCAGCCTTCCGTAGCGGTTGCTTCGGCCTTGTTATCGAGCTCCCACAATCACACAGGCCCTCAGCAACCAGAGAGCAGTACGGTATGGCAGCAACCCGCGAATGCGATGCTGAGCAGCAAGCTGCAGCAAACAGCGAGGCGCCTCCTGCTCTAAGCGGCGTTGGATCCGCTGCGCTGAAACGACCCGCACCCACCCCTTTACAAAGCCTCGAAGTCATTGTTGCTCAAGTCAAACCCTCGCGCTGCAGCCTCGCAGTGAGCTGGTCGCTGGTCTCGAGCGCTGTCGTCCGCCTTCCAACACACCGTCTGCCTGCTCCAGGCTGTCTCAGGCTTACCCTCGTCACGGCACGCATCCTTACCTACCCTCACCCTAGTCGCACCCACCGCAGCTGATCCCTTCTGCAGATCATGGTCTCGATAGGCCCTGTCTCTCGGCCTCGCGCCCTAGTCTCTAGTCTCCTGTCTCGCTGTCTCCTTCGCATGCTCAGCAACCTGGCAGCATCCCGGGCTTTTCTGTCCACCTCTCGTGTGGCGTCCCCTGCCATGCTTGGTCCAAATGCGTGCGCATTTGTGCGGGACCCCACCCCTGCCTTTCTAGCAGTCCACAGCCGAATACCACCCTACCCTTTCCATGCCCCCCTTGCCCAAGAAAGATTCCGGCCAGAGTCTCCCCTGCTCGTCGCTCTCCGCGTCCGTCCGTCCGTCCCTTCCTCCTCGCCTTCTCTTGCTTTCTGCCTTATCCGCTTTGCTTCTCATCTGACCTGTCGTCCCTTCTCATCTTGCTCCCGTCCGCCATGCTCTTGAGCCAACGCCCAGCACTTCCATCCGATCGTTGAGTCTATTCTTGACCATCACTGTTGTCTCATCTAAGACTCCGCTTGCTTTGTCGTCCAGCTTAGCCATCCCTCGCCCTCGCCCTAAGCTCTTCTCTGCTTGCCGAGCGTGGCCCCCTCAAGCTTCAGGCGATCTCCTTTGCCGGGCTGGCTAGTCGACCCCTCTCGGTGATCCTTCCCGCCGTATCACCTCGTCGTCCGTGCCGACTTTGCAGCCAGCATGAAGTACTCCCCTGACCACGACTGCTTCCGTACTCGAGGAGTGCTCTCCCGCGACACCATCGTCGAGATCTACAAGCTCCGCACAAACGATAAGAAAATCAAGACCGCCGCAAGCGCCTCGGTAGGCCTCAAGCACGGCGTTACGGCCAAGGCCATCAGAGACATCTGGAACCGGCGGACATGGTGGAACGTGACGGAGGCGCTATGGACGGAGGAGGAGCGGGAGGACTACGCGAGGAGGCGGAAGCCATGCGGGAAGGCGGGGAGGCCTCGAGGGTCCAAGGACTCGAAGAAGCGGAGAGCAAAGATCGGGGCAGGTCAGATAAGCATGGCAGCCAGTAGAGTAGACGAGCAAGCCCGAGACAGGACTGACCGGCCCAGTGACAGCCATCAAGCTGGCAGGCAGGAGCTCTGCGTACGGCAAGGTGCATCGTCGTCGTCAGAAGGCGACGAGCGGGAGGACGAGGACGAGAGCGAAGAGGACGCGGAAGGCGAAGACAAGAAGAGCACAAGTCGTGGGGATGACGACGAGGCTCGGGCATCGATAGGCATCGCATACAGCAGCTGGAGCGAGGGAGCGGGGCTGCCCCGACCCATCCACATGTCAAGGGAGGAGCTTTGGGGCGAGGCTCTGCGGCACGTCATGCGATGACAACCACAGCGGAGAGCAGCGGCCAGTCCGTAGCAGCAGCCCCAGGGGCCATTCCACTGTCGCAGTCGCCTGCACCTGCATCCTTCTTACCCCCGGACAGCACCGAGCTCGCAGTGTGTACAGGGAGCAGTTTGTCGCGAGTGATGTATATACATGCAGACTCCTGCATCTCACGCCTGCCTTGGCCTATTGGCGTACGTCTCATGTCCCCGCCTCGAGCAGGCGCCTCGTCTGTAGGATCTGTCTTGAAGCTGAGAATGGCACAAGCACACTCACGCAGCTGCAGAGGCTGACGGGACCGGCTGTGTCCAGCCTTCACCAGGCCTGGGGTAAAAGGACTCAAGATCACAGAAATCCTTAGGCCTGGAGCTTGTGCTATCGTCCCCTTGCCCCTAGACCAGCTCGATCTGCGGTTCGCCTCCTGAACGCCTTACACCGCACGGGAAGCTGTGCACGCGTGCCAAGACTCTCGTCCTGATGGCTCGCATACAGATACCCTCACCTATCTCCAGCCTCTCCGTCCGTGACTCCAGGTCCGGCCAAGCCTTACCGGCATCGACAAAGAAGAGGAATCAATAGGCTGATGATGATCTTACTGGTGCTACCAGCCAGGAGAAAGCGCCTTCCTGCGGCGCCTGTTGATCCATCCCGGTCGTCATTCCCTGATCCGTCTGGACTTTGGTCGTGGACAGGTGCGGGATCGTAGGATCGCAGGACCGCGGGCCTGGGCCTCGCAGCCTGCGTAAAGTCGCCTTTTCTAGCATGGGCCGTAGCCAAAGATGCGGCCTGCTGGGTTTGCTCTGATCATCGACACTGATCTAACGACGCACTTGCTCGGCCCAGCCTATTTTCTCTTGATCGCTCCGTATCAAATAGGATGCTTTCTACTCGCCCCCCTTCTTCTGTCAGTCCATGGTTTGGAGCAAATGTCTCGCAGCTCACCCCGTCGGATCTCATCCGCTGCCTCTCTGCGACCATGCCCTGCTTGTTCATGCCATGCCCTGATCTCCTCGACTCCGACGCCTTCCTGTGCATCCCGCCATCAAGCTGGAAGCCAGGAGCTCTGAGTACGGCAAGGTGCATCGTCAGGATCTCTGGTTGCCAAGCTCATCCAGCAGTGAGCCTGGGACAAGTTCTCAGCCTCCCTTTCCCTCTCTATCACCCTCCCTCCCTCCCTCCCTCCCTCCTTGTGAACCCTTTCAACCTTGCTTGTGCTGTCGCTGCAAACAGATGTCATCTTGCTTTGCACTGCCTATCCATCCGGCTACCTCTCCTCATCCGCAGCTTCCCCACTGACTCCCTTGCTCCTCAAGTGTGTCTCCACTAAGCTCCTGCTCTTGATATGCCCTGGTACTCACTCTTCTTCCTGGATGTATCTCCATCGTTCGATCAACATGGCTGCCTCTGTACATAACTGCTGCTGTATGTTTTGCCTCCGCAGCTGTATGTTTGGCCTCAGCAGCTGTATGGTTTGCTTTCATGTCCTATATCAGCATAAGCCTATCCTTCCTGTACCGTAGACCCTATCCTTCCTGTGACAGGCATCAGTGTGCCTTCCCGTGACATCTCTGCTGTTTTGAGTACGCCCATCATCATCTCACAGACCGCGCTTGGTCTCAGACTCGTCCCGAGCCTCTCCCTCTCTCCTCCAAGCCTCCCTCCCTTCCTCTTCCCTCTGAGTGCCCTCGCCTTCATGTCTGTTCTCAGGCTCCACGATTTCGCTCGGTTTTAAAAAACAATCGGCTTTTAAACTTCCACCCCCACCCCCCCTGCCCCCACCAAGATGCGCCCCCATCTTCCTTTCCCGGCCTTCATGGCGACTAGCAAGGACCAGTAGCATGCGACACGGAGGAGACGATGAGGATGCGGGAGACGGAGAGGGACGGCCCCTTCCCCTCGACCTCCAAGCCTCCTCTCATCGCCATCAGCCTCCGTGCTGCTCGTGGATACATGAAGCACTCACGACCGGCAAGGCTCCGTACAGCGTCAAACGCAAACAGAAGCTGCCAGCGCTTGTGCAGGGTGTAAGCGAGTAGGTCGAAGGAGCGTGAGGCGCCTGAAGCCTGCAGGAGTATTACTCTATACGCTCACCTGACCATATGCAGCGTCTGTCACGGCAAACGTCTGCCATGTCACCACGCAAAAACAAGCATCCCAGACCGACGTACGCCAAGCGTTTCCTGCTGCAACTCCTGTCGGATCGACCTCGATCATCTGGACGCATATCGCAAGCGCCCAGACTGTGCCCTGAGCGGATCAGCGATATCACACGGATGCTTCTGCCTAGTCAGGCCAGTCTCGCCTTCTTGCCTGCGCCTGGAGTGATTTGATACTTGCCGGGCCGTACTCGCGTGGGCGGCAGATAGCTACGCAACCGCGTGTTCTCTTCATCTGTCATACTGATGGTTGCCAAGCATGCCCTATGAGCATGGCACAGCTGACGATGTGTGTTCATTGGGGGACCCAAATGCGCTCGACCGATCTCCCTTGCCTGCCTTGAAATCGAGGAACGAGCCCTTGAATAGGCCACTCCATGGAAGGTATAATGTGTAATAGAAGGCAAGGTATATGTGTTTATGTGTTTGAATGATGATGTCTCCTGGCAGCATGGCGGCGCTTGGTTCCATGAGTCATCTCTCGACAAGAAGCTGTCTTTGGTCTACCTGCCCCTCTGCCGCCGTTTGCTCCTCTCCCTTCAGCCAGCCCGTCGCCTTGCACTTCTCGCTAGTACAAAGCGCTTCCCGTCCCCGCAATCATCGCAAGCAACGCATGCAGGCGTCCATGTCACGTGTCAAAGTCATCCTTACACCCGTCGTCTGGTCGTCGCAACTGTAGTATACCGAAGCCGATGGATCTACAAAACGCTTGCCCTATGGTAGCATATATCCCATATGCATGAATACAAGCTCCAGCAAGGCCTCGTCACCCCGCGCCCAAATAGATGCGACTTCTACGCTCAGACAATCCGTCCGACAAGCTCCTTGTCCCTCGCGTCGCTTCTTGGTTCCTCATCGTGTCACATGCTCCAGCGCCTCTCTCATCAGCTCCTCCCTGCAGAGATGGATCGCTCGACTCAGCCTCAGTCCCGCGAGGGTGGCGTTCAGCCCTATGGCTTTGGTCGTGCTGCTGGCTCCTACGACCCGCTCGTGCGCTTTTTCCTCTTCCTCGTCAACCTGCGGCAATCAAAGGTCGTCACCTATGCTGTAGTGCCCTGGTCTCTAGGCACCTGCTGGTGGCACCACTCTCTCACCTCCTCAATGCTAGCCAGTATCCACTAATCCCCCTTTCTCTCGCTCTTCTCGCTCTCCTGAGCTTTGACTTGTCCCTCCGCCTGGTCGGGCTCTACCTGCTTTCGCCTTGACTTGCGAGGCTTCGAGTCCTTGGACCCTCGAGGCCTCCCCGCCTTCCCGCATGGCTTCCGCCTCCTCGCTGATCCCTTCTGCAGATAATGGTCTCGATAGGCCCTGTCTCTCTGGCTCGCGCCCTAGTCTCTAGTCTCCTGTCTCGCTGTCTCCTTCGCATGCTCAGCAACCTGGCAGCATCCCGGGCTTTCCTGTCCACCTCTCGTGTGGCGTCTCCTGCCATGCTTGGTCCAAATGTGTGCGCATTACCTTTTCCATGCCCCCCTTGCCCAAGAAAGATTCCGGCCAGACTCTCCCCTGCTCGTCGTTCTCCGCGTCCGTCCGTCCGTCCCTTCCTCCTCGCCTTCTCTTGCTTTCTGCCTTATCCGCTTTGCTTCTCATCTGACCTGTCGTCCCTTCTCATCTTGCTCCCGTCCGCCATGCTCTTGAGCCAACGCCCAGCACTTCCATCCGATCGTTGAGTCTATTCTTGACCATCACTGTTGTCTCATCTAAGACTCCGCTTGCTTTGTCGTCCAGCTTAGCCATCCCTCGCCCTCGCCCTAAGCTCTTCTCTGCTTGCCGAGCATGGCCCCCTCAAGCTTCAGGCGATCTCCTTTGCCGGGCTGGCTAGTCGACCCCTCTCGGTGATCCTTCCCGCCGTATCACCTCGTCGTCCGTGCCGGCTTTGTAGCCAGCATGAAGTACTCCCCTGACCACGACTGCTTCCGTACTCGAGGAGTGCTCTCCCGCGACACCATCGTCGAGATCTACAAGCTCCGCACAAACGATAAGAAAATCAAGACCGCCGCAAGCGCCTCGGTAGGCCTCAAGCACGGCGTTACGGCCAAGGCCATCCGAGACATCTGGAACCGGCGGACATGGTGGAACGTGACGGAGGCGCTATGGACGGAGGAGGAGCGGGAGGACTACGCGAGGAGGCGGAAGCCATGCGGGAAGGCGGGGAGGCCTCGAGGGTCCAAGGACTCGAAGAAGCGGAGAGCAAAGATCGGGGCAGGTCAGATAAGCATGGCAGCCAGTAGAGTAGACGAGCAAGCCCGAGACAGGACTGACCGGCCCAGTGACAGCCATCAAGCTGGCAGGCAGGAGCTCTGCGTACGGCAAGGTGCATCGTCGTCGTCAGAAGGCGACGAGCGGGAGGACGAGGACGAGAGCGAAGAGGACG